AAACAAAATAAAGTTAACAAAAAAGTCAGTAAGAATATAAGAACACACTTAGTATCTTAGAAAAAATATATATACATACACATACTTATATACATTTTTCTCCCCTGACCCTAAGGTATTTGCAGCAAACTCATCATATACTAGGTGATTATGCAAGCATCAAAAAATTAAAAAGAAAAGCATCAGAATTCTTTAACTGAATGTAAAACTTATAAATACTAACTGGAAAATACATAGAATTGAATAATAATGAAAATAATACTTAAAGACTTATGTGATACAACTAAAGTAAAGAATTTATAGCCTTGAATGCTAGCTATACTAAAAGAGAAGGGAGATTGAAAATAGTATCTGAATCAGTTTTTGTGCAGATGATAAATAAAAAATACAACAGACTTACTGCCACTGGATCCCTCTGGTGAAGCTGAGCAGCTGTTACTTGTCTAAATCCACCTGGGTAGCTGTTAAAAGAAGCAAAGACATTACAACTGGGCATATGCTACAGTACTCTTAAACTGATCATTCTTTTATAAAAAAACTAATTTAATAAGTTGTTTCTGGAAACTATGCTGTTCATTAGTGTTTTCAAAATTAAGTAGTAACTATGCTATTTGAAATGCTATTCTCTTAAATGGCCAACTATCATCAGTTCATAAAAAGCTCTATATCTTAGAAAATTTCTTGGTATAACTATATTTCTATCTGAATTTTAAGTTATTCATTCATTATGAGATAGATTATCACTGCTTGATTTAAGAAAGAAATAGCAATGGGCCAGAATATTTCATGTTCTCTGCCAAATTAGACAAATTGCCTGTATAAGCGAGGGGTTAGGTCTGAGGAAAATGTTGGTAGACTATTTGGTTCTGAGGTCAAGTTCATACTCTAAACAGATAATCCTGTTCCCTCTTAACAGTTGGGAAAAGGTCACTGTTATATGTTGGCTCTAAGTAATAAAACATTTCATTGTGTTCAGATCAGACATTATATATAAAATGAACAAATTGGCAATTAAATATAGATTTGTGGTAGTATCGGATACAGCTTAATAATTTGGATACCCCAGATCCAGGTTTGGAATCCAGGTTTTGTCAGTGACTCCCAGTATAATATCAGGCAACTCATTTTAACTCTCTACATATGATTTTACTCACAGAAAAAAAAAAAAAAAATTGGAAATCCAGCATGGAGTCTGCAAAAAACCTTAAGATTACCTACATGTGATTCCTTCCAAATGTTTCTTTTGACAAAATTTGAAAACATATTAAAAATGATTTAAGAAACCACATTTTAGGTATAAAAGTTAAGAAACCAAATTTAGAAGTTTGCTAGGAAATACGGATAATTTTCAGAACTGACAGTCTTTTGTTTCATAGAATTTCAGTTTTAGAAAAAGAAATATCTGTCCAGATTTCTATTCTTGTATCCTTTTTCTCCATGGAAAAAAATACAACTTTTATGCTAAACCTTATCTTTCTATTTTTAACACTGGGATGGCAAATTTTAGAGCATAATGCCATTTACATTATATTGCAGGAGTCTGCACTTTATCCTGAAGGATTTGAAAAGCTAATGTAAAATTCTGAATAGGGGAATGACTTGAGTAACGCACTATTCAGTTGATTTTTACTAG